CAGATGAGAAGGAATCTAGAGCCAGTGGTGGAATGATGGATCCAACGTGGTGGTGGGTATAGTAATGTTCTGTGCCTTACAAATCAATAGTAACACTAACAACCTATGTTCTAAATAACAATCTTAAATGAAATTGAATGGAATGAAAATAAACCTATGGCACATCAAAAGAGAGAGCCAAGTCCCAAATAGTCAAGAATTAAATGCAACATTATTTTAAAAACACATTCTGGTTAATAAGGCGTCAGAAGTGGTTTACAAATCATATTTCAATTAATGCATAATATATTTTATCCACTATAGTAATAGAAAAATGACAAAAAGTTCATAAAAATCATAAAAGTGGCCGAAAAACAACTGATAAGTTGCAAAATTTATTTATTACACTTTTAAGCGGACTGAAATGGAAGGAAATGCCTTTGTTCATATATAACAAGCTTAATTTATTGAGGTAACAATCATTTACAGAGCAAAAATTTCTTTGCATTTTAATAAATTAAAAAAGTAAAGTAAAGGCCCTCGCGTTGATCGTCGATTTGCTCGAGCGGGCCCAGTAACGTCTCCATTGGAGACTTTGTTGTTACTGTGTCTGGCATATCGAATACTCTCGGTAGCTTGCCGGGCTCTCCGAGAGGGGTGGAGGAATCGAACTCGGGTCGGCCATGTTGGCATTTAATAAATTAATATTTAAAAAATGAAGTAGTATATAACAAAGAACAGCGAATATAAAATATCCATTATTAAGGATAACACTGTCTGTGGATGACATATGAAAACATTTCCTACTAGGAAAACTTAGGAGCAAGCAAAGGACACTTGCTATTGGATCTTTTATATTTGAAAGATGTTATGAATATGGATGTGGAAAGCCGAAAAGAATAGACAAACTATTCAAGTTAATGAGTTACTGTAACAAGGTAGCTAGGTGGAAGTGCTAGCAGAAAAACAGTCATCTTTTATATAGCAGTGACAGAAATTTAAAATAACATAAAAATCAGATCCAAAGTCATGATCGATCAAAACTCTGCAAGATCTCGAAAGTGAAAATGCCAGGATGTCATTAAGAGAAATGGGGAAGAGCTCCATTTTCAGTTTTTGCACCTTTATTAATGAGAACCAGTCTTCTGTCATTTGTCTTTTGCGGCAATGTCATCATTCATTTTGGTTAAGGAATTTATCCTCACTTAAAAGAAAATCTGAAAGTTTTCTTCATGTTTATTCTCCAAAGTAAGTTTGGTGTTAATCTTCCTTAAGTGTTTAGAAGACTTCATAGATACCATATCTATTAGAAATGAAGTTCTGTTTGTATACTGATTTTTTTTTTACTTTTTTGGTCACATCCGGTGATGATCAGGGTTTACTCCTGGCTCTGCACTCAGGTATTACTCCTGTTAGTGCACGAGTAGACTTTATGGGATGCTGGGGATTGAACCCAGGTCGGCAGCATGCAAGACAAATGCCTTACCCACTATGCTACCACTCCAGCCCCTGTATACTGATTCTTAATCAGATATTTATCACTGTCCTCCCATTGTTCATTGATTTGCTCGAGTGGACAGCAGTAATGTCTCACAACAAATTATGAGACTTGCTACTGTTTTTGGCATATGGAATACATCACGGGGAGCTTGCCAGGCTTTGCCATGCAAGCGAGATACTCTTGGTAGCTTGCCGGGCTCTCCGAGAGGGGCAGAGGAATCAAACTCGGGTCAACTGCGTCCAAGGCAAACGCCTTACCCACTGTGATATCGCTCCAGCCCAATCAGATATTTAACATCACTAATAGATATTGGGCCCTTTACATTTTCCCATTTAGTCTGTTTTCAGTAGAGTATGTTTTTGAGGAATTTGTTCATTTTAGATTAACTTTGACTCTCTCCTAAAAAAAACTGTTGATGACTTCTTGTTTTTCTTTGAAAGTTAGTGAGATCATTTTTGATAATGAATTTTCTATTATTAATATTGTTCTTTGCATTTTCTGTCCTTGTTGCTTAATTGATCTGCCTTACAAGTGACATACCCATTTTTTTCTTTTCAAAAACCCACCATTTATCTCATTTTACATAGTCTACATTTAATATTTCTTTTCTAAATGGGACCAAAATGGTGGAAGCAGTTATACGATGTCTAGAGTACTGATCAAACAGTCCCTTCTGTAAAGCCAAAGAAAGTTCTGAAGGATGAACCTCAGCCCAGTGGGACAGTGGTTTTTCACTGCATAATTTGCTTCTGAGCAAGCCATGGGTATCTTTTAAGTATGAGCAACTGAGAGAGTCGTAGTGCTGGATTTGCATCAATCTTCTTACCTCTCAGAAAATAACGAAGAAACCCAAGCACAAAAATTGGTAAGTCTACCACTGTACTTTATGGTGTCTCACTAATAAAAATTAAAAAAAATAAAAAAGAGAAGAAAATGATGAAGCTTCATCCTGGACACCACTGGACACTTTCAGCTTTGTACTTGACCATTCATCCAGAATTCCTAGTTGAACTGGGAGAAAACACAGAATCGGATAAACTTTCACTCTACAAGCCAGCCACCCCAAGGAGAACAAGGCAGCAGGCATTTCCGGGGCAGAGACCCGGAAGCAGACTCAAGCTGTTGCAGCTCCAGGACTTCCTGTCTACCCAATTTGATCATCTTATATTGGAAGTAGAGCAGCCTCGGAATACTCTCTCTTCTTCCTCCCTATGGTCTGGGATTCCCGGTTTCTGTTTAGCAATATTCCAGTTTGATAATGTCATTGGTTTAGAAAGTTGCTGTGTGTCTATCTCTGTCCTGCCGAAGGTCTGGATTCTGATGCCAACTGCAACTGCACTTAATGCCCAGGCGTATTTCTCATCCATTCACAATCTCAGGAGACCTGGGCAGCTGTCCCCAGGTGCTAAAACATGGTGCCTGCCTCTCATCCCCGGGGAGTGGCCCAGCAGCAGGGGCTTCTGTGGTGGCCAGGCGTGGAGGGTCTTACACAATTAGTTGTTCTATCCCATTCAATGCTTTCTCCCATTAATTGATTTTGTCAGGGAGGGGGCAGGAAAGTACTTCTCCAGTCTGAATCTGGCAGAATATCTGAGTCTTCGGGGGAACATGGTCTTGTTCTGAAATATGTATTCTTCCAGGGCAATGTGTCTCCAAAGGAAGGTTGCATTCTAGGTGACACCCCAAGTATTTGAAACACAGCTCTGGATTCAGGGACGTGCTGTTTGCTGATTAAACTTGGGAGTGTTTTCTTGAATATCCCATCATGCTAATTGTTAATAAACTGTAATCAGAATCTTTTTTGCGAATGGATTATCTCTGGGGACTGCAGTTTCTTGTACACACACCATGCTTGGATGCGAGAACATTGTATTGAACCTAAGGGCTGCTTCTGGAAACTGGCAAATCACCAAGATCTAAGTACATGCTTTTAGGACTGATGAATACAGTAATGATACTGGAGATGAAGTGAGTTCTGTCTGTCTGTTCACAAACGAGAAGAAATGGCTCTGCAGTGTGGTGGCAGTCCCACCGAGTTCACTCGTCTCATGTGTGTGTTTGCTCTTAAGTTCTGCTGCTAGTGTACATTACTGTGCTTCTATCTCCAGGACTGGAGTGGGACTTGGGTTAAGTTAAGCTAACGGCGAGGTGTTTGGTAGGTGGAGTGGGATTTGCTAGGCTACCGCAGGTCCCTCAGGTGCTGACATTTGAGGTGTTCTGAACTGGATAGGCTAATCCTGGCTAAACCGGGATCAACAGGACTGACAGAAGCGGAGGAGGAGAAACAGTGGTCGAATAATTTCGCTCATGCAGGTATCATTGCCATATTGGCAAATATGGGATCAGATTCCCCGTTTCACTGCAAGAATCTTCACTGAGAAGCGTCTTTGCCACGTATTGAGATGGGAAGGCAGGCAGAGAAACGGTTATGATCAAGGAAAGTAAATTCAAAAAAAATATGGTAGGTGGCACTAGTCACCTTCAAATCACTGGGCTCAATCCCCAGGTTTATTTCTCATTCACTCAAAATCTCTTGTGGACCCAGACAAGTCTCCTGGGTAGCAGTCCCCAGGTGCTAAGCCATCATGCCAGACTCTCTCACCCCCAGGGAGTGGCCCAGCAACACGAACTTCTGTGACAGCCAGGCACAGAGGGTCTTACACAGGATATTCTCATTGCATCCAGGGAATGCTGCAGTTCACATTCTCCTTGAGTCAGAAGCAGGCACAGGGCCGTAAGTGGGAGCTGGACATGAGGTCTCTTGCTGTCTGTCCCAGATAAGGGTCATCCAGTGGACGGGGTCGGCATGTGTGACTGCCAGATTTCTAAGTGCCTGTCCTAATTTTGAGATTTGGAGGGGGGGCTCTTTTATTATCGTACTGAATGGAATTAGTGTTGGTGAGATTTCTTATGATCATTATTGTTATTATTGGTTTGTGACCACAACCAGCAATGTTCAGGGGATAACACCCAATTCTGCATTCAAGAATCACTCCCAGTGGGGCTCAGGGGACCCTATGGGATGCCAGGGGTCAAACCTTGGTCAGCTGCGTGCAAAGGCAAGGCAGGCAACCTACCTGCTGCTCTATTGCTCCAGCCCCTTTGTCTTCTTCCTTCCTTCTTTCCTTCCTTCCTTCCTTCCTTCCTTCCTTCCTTCCTTCCTTCCTTCCTTCCTTCCTTTTTGGTTTTGGCTTTTGACTTGGGGGCCACACCCAGAGGTCCTCAGGAGTTTCTCCTGGCTCTGCCTTCAGGGATCACTCTTGGCAATGTTGGGGGGATTATGTGGGATGCCAGGGTTAGAGCCCAGGTTGGCTGCATACAAGGCAAGCACCCTAACCACTATGCTATCTCTCTGGCCCCTGTAGGTGAGACTTTTGTAAGGGGCATTCTAGTGACTGTACTAAATACCCTTAGTCAGAATTAAGGTGGCTGCTGACACCATGACAGAAGTTACTTTCTGAATGAAGGGGTATGATTTTAATAAAAATCTGCTTTTCATTTTTTAAATTTGTTTGGCCAGATGCAGTGACAGAAGTGAAGACTGACATCTATGTGACCAGTTTTGGCCCTGTGTCAGACACTGACATGGTAAGTCTAGTTCCTGCAAAGGTAAAAGTGACAGATGATACAAGTAAGAGGAAATTAATTGCTGTCTTATTATGGCAATACCACACAGAGAATGATATTTTCTCTGGTGAGCACTTGGTGGAGCTCTCTGACAAGAGGGTTGTTCCTTGCAAATGCATTGTTCTCTGGGGACTTGAATTGACCAGGGTTGTGAAACATTCAGTGGAAGAGTCAGAAGCACTTCTGGGAAATATTTTCACAGAAGCAAGTGGGGGGGCGCTGAGCAGAGTTCAGGAATAGGAGTAAGTACTACACAGTAGCAATTGGTTGATCTCTTGTGAATCATCTGGAAGGATTCCCTACTTCGCTACCATTCTCCCTTGCTGCTGACACACTGAGTGTAGTGGGGCATCGAGGCAGGAAACCCTCATTTAATAGACCACGTCATCATTACTGATTGAGTGGCCGAGATTTGATGGAATTGTCATCCTAAAGGACAACAAAAAAGTTATTATCTTATCAGTCTGCCTTGCAGTTATTAGAGATTCTAGAAGTTTCTCTGAGTAATTTTGTGTGGAAAAATTTGTGTTGAAAAATATCAGGTTAAACTTTCATAGATTTTCCCCCCTATATTTCTTTATTCATTGGGATTAGAAGGAATCAAGGCTTTTTTTCTTAACCTTTTGCGTAAATCTGAACCGTTGCGCTGACACATAATAAGAACTTGTCCTCTGGGTTACACAGAACTATTGAGTGGATTTGACTAGGAGGCTAAGAATATTTTGCTCTCTTCGAATGCTTGCTCTGGCGTTCTCTGCAGAATGTACTAGAAGGGGAGACAGACTGGCTTTGATTCCAGCATGTTGGTTTTGCATGACTCATCAGTCAAGCAGGGTAGGAGTCAGTGGCTTAAGCAAGCAGGGAGTCATGAGTATCTTTGAAGCCCAGAGGGAAAGAGAGATGCCTGAACTTTTTCTTTCAACTATTGAATAAAGAATATGACAGTGATATATTAGACTTCATTTTAACTCCTTATGAGCAAGTTCCAAGTCTTTATGGCTTCCCTACCCCCAACTGGAGTACTTCACATACGGGTGGAGCGCAGTGATGATTATGACTGATGCATGAGGGTTAGAGCCTGGAAACAACTTTATTAAGGGCAGAAAGAAAACCTGTCTATGCTTCCCACTCTCAACCTGTTGACTCATACTGCCCACAGTTCATATAGAGCCATGTATCAAAACCTGGCCAGTTGGTCATTTGACAAGTGCTCATTAGAAGCCTAACTCTGCAATAAAGGATTCCAATGATCCCCTGCCCTTGGAAAACTTTTAGACCCTGATGATTAGCAGATGCAATAGGAATATGCAGTTCTCTTTTTGTGTTGCAGAGAATGAGTAGCTGGATTCGGGTTTTCATAAGAAAGCACCTGAACACTTGCTCCGCAGACCCACGCTCTCCATTGTGAACGAACAACCACGATCACATTTAGAAAAATATGCATGCACATAAGGAAACTCACAAAGTAGAGCTAGCCCACACACTACTACATAGACACACATACACACACATGCCGATGCTCAGTGCATTTGACTGCAGAAAAACATACATAGCCCTTACCAGGTAGCTCCTTTCCCAGCCCCTTCCCCACCAAAATTGGCACACGTGGGTACACAGTGGTTCTCAAGTCATCAGAAATAAATCAGATTTTCCCCCAAGCTATTCTAAAGTTTCCTGTTCCAATTTCTTTGTGTTTCTCCCTCCTGATTAAGCAGAAGCAATAGAATGGCTCTCTGCTGATAATGAGACTTAGTCAAATAACTTGTAAGTTATTTTTAGCTACGCTTCCATCCTGTCAAAAGGCAGAATCGCTCTGATCATTCTGGCTGGTAAGATCTTTCGTGGTGTTTAAAAATTTTATTCTCCTAAAGTGTTTCAAGTAGGTTGTGGCAGTTGACCCAGGGGGGCAGGTTGACTTTGTGTGGGACCTGAGACAGACATCTGACCTTTAAGCAACTAGTGGAAGGTAACCCGGGCTCCCCAAGATGCAGGTTGTTTGGAAAAGGAGATGGAGATTAGGACTGTCTTTGCTCTTGACTTCCTTCCAACCACACAGTTGTTGCCCAGACTATTTCCCCAAGGAAAGCTAGTCTTTTGTTCATAAAGGGGAAAAATTGTGGTGCCAGTTTGAGCAGTGAATCTCCATCACCCGTAACTGTAATGGCACTCTAATGGCACTTCTTGGTCCAACGTTGCACTTCTTGGTTCAACGTTATTGCTGTAATGGCACTTCTTGGTCCAACGTTGACTTCTCAGGGTCCTGCTTTTGGCACACAGCTCTATGAAGCACAGGATCACCGTCCTCACAGTGTTTAGCATCTGCTATGTGCAATAGCAAAGGAGACAAAACACATTGCATTTAAGGAAAATTTGGTCTATGTTCCTCCCCTTCACTGAAAATTCTGCAGAGGCATAGGCTGCTCAGAGGCATCTGCGTATTGCCAGAATCTGGTTTCAAGCCTGTCAGACCCAGCGAGCTCTGTTCCATAGCCCAGTTCTTTGGCTCTACCATTTGTTACCTTCCTGTGAATTAGGGTGCAGAGAAAGTGGGGGGCTATCTGCGTCAGAATCGCTTGCATAGTGGTCAGTGTTTGGAAAGGAAGGTCAAAAGGCAATTTGACATTTTCTAAGCCTGTACTAAATGTTCTTGCCATACCAAAAAATAATTACAGCTGTATGAAGCGAATGGAATGCTAATTGACTTGGTCGTGGTAATCACTTCCCCATTTTCATGTTTACCTCTATTCAGTCCTCGCATTGTATGGTATGAATATTTCTCCTTTCTTATTTGCCCAGAATAACTGAAGAAGATTAAAGTAAAAAGAACTTTAACAGCAACGAAAAACAGTGTGTCCCATTCCCGTCCAAATTACCTCTGACAACATTTTCATTGAGCTCTCAATGTCCTTGAACACCGGGGAGGTGTGGGCCCGGGCCCTGGGTTATGCATTCCACAAATATCCATCAGAAGGTGCAGCCAACCCCAGTGAGAAAAGAAATCTGACAAGAATCATATTAGCGGCATCAGAGAGAACATTCTGAGAACTTATAATGACAAGTCTAGGTGTTGTCACCCCCTACTTTCTTCCCAGCACGCACTTTCACTATTTACCTTCCAGTTAACAAGTGCCAGCTAGCACACTGCTAATAGAGAAACTTCCTCGACAGTCATGCAACGACACAGGGAGACAGCACAATAAGAGAGCGGCTGTCCAGCTCGGTGAGAAAATGAAGAGAAAGCTGGGCCAACAACTCAAAACAGAAAAAAAAGAACATTGAACCACAATTCTTTTTTATTTATTTATTTTTAATTTTTATTAGTGAAACACCATGAGGTACAGTTGTAGACTTAAAAATTTTTGTGCTTGGGTTCCAATTATACAATGATCAAATACCCATCCCTCCACCAGTGCCCATTTTCCACCACCACGGGTCCCAGTATCCCTCCCACCCCCATCCCCCCCATCCCACCCTGCCTCTGTGGCAGGGCATTCCCCCTTGTTCTCTCTCTCCTTTTGGGTGCTGTGGTTTGCAAAAGAGGCATTGAGTGGCAATCATGTTTGGTCTAGAGTCTACTTTCAGTATGGTTCTCCAATCCTGGGAGGATCCTCCCAACACCCTTTACTTGGTTCTCCCTTCTCTATCTGAGCTGCCTTCTCCCCTAGCATGTGTGGCTGGCCTCCAAGCCATGGAGCAAACCTCCTGGTACTAATCTCGGCTATTCTTGGGTGTTAAGTCTCCTATTTTGTTACTTTATGTTCCCCAGATGAATGCAATCTTTCTATGTCTATCCCTCTCTTTCTGACTCATTTCGCTTAGCATGATACTTTCCATGTAGTACCACTTGTATGTAAATTTCATGACTTCATCTTTTCTAGAACCATAATTCTTTTTTTTTGCTTTTTGGGTCACATCCAGCGATGCTCAGGGGTTACTCCTGGCTCATGCACTCAGGAATCACTCCTGGCGGTGCTTGGGGGACCATATGGGATGCTGGGAATCGAACCTGTATCGGCCATGTTGGATGCGTGCAAAGCAAAGGCCCTACCTACTGTGCTATCGCTCCAGCCCCCTAGAACCATAATTCTTAAGACCAGGCTTGGGTAGTACACATTTTAGTCTGACAACAGCTTATGAAAATCATACGAGGTTGCCAGGGGTAGCCAGGAAAAATGGAGTTAATTAAAAAGAAAGTTCCATAGAAGTATCTTTTCCGGTGGCTGTGAATTTGAAATTTTTGTACCTCTCTAGCACTCCAAAAACTGGTTGTATCTCGATCCAGCCCTTGGTTGCCGCCGGGTTTGGACCCAGAACCTTGGAGAGCCTTTATGTATGTTGAAAGACAGCCGCAGAGCCTCAGTTTCCCCTACTGGCAAGGACAGTGCACTTCTCTGTGCAGCATGGAGATGGGCCCCTCACGGGGTTCTGTGAGTAGGAGTCTCCTGGGCTACTTTCGCGTCAAATAGACATGCAGGCCACATAAGCATGTTGAGACTCTGTGAAGGGCTGAAACTGAGAGAAGGATGTGGCTTCTGCGTGTCTGGCTCGAGAATGATGCCAGGAAGGCACAGACCGAAGGATGGTCTTAACAAAGCTAAGGGACAGAGCCTGCTTGTGGCACCGGAAAAGGTCTCTAATGCCACTGTTAAGTAGCTTGGCCACAGATCCCACTGAAGTGAAATCAGACTGCCAGTCCCTTTCTGGTCACCTGCTTTAATAGGAGGCAGAAGTTTTGAGGGCTGACGATATTCAAACTGGAACTACCTTCCTGAAGAGCTCAGTGCCATCTCTCTACACAGTGTCAGAAATGGACTCGCAGCCCTTCCCAGGAGACCAGCTTAGGCTTATTATGTGGAAGATTTGATTGAAATGCTTCACCAAACAACAGAATTCATTTATCAATTTGGGCATAATCATCTCTGGAGAATAAACATGGGCTCAATTTGCAAGGTAGGAATTGA